CCCCCCCCCCCCCCCAGCACCAACCACAACCGAGTCTCACTAAACCAAAGGCGTTCCCAAGCTAATTGATCCATTGAGTCTTTGGCCCCAACAGATTGACGACCGTATCGACAAGCGCAAAAAAGCTCCCCGTTGTCCCGACATCTGCACTGCCGTTGCTCAAGCTCCAGATTGACCTCCACCGATTCAGCCTCGCCTCAATCTCACCTCCTCCTTCTTTCTTTTCTTTCCTCATTTCGACGCTATCTACTGGTGATCCCCCCTCCTGCTTCCTCCAGAAAGCCAAAATCCGCGGGTTTTAATCTTATGACCAATCTTGTTAGTTGTTCCGTCTCGAAGCTCCTCCTCGAGATCGAATAATACTTGGCCAGATTGACCCAATTGGCACCTCGTGGGCTTGTCGTCTTGTTTCCTCCCTTGACGACTGACGACTGCTTGTTTTACTTCTTCCCTTTTATTTAATTGTTAGCGGCTGTTGTGGAAGAAGGATTTCATACATACACCTTTCTTCACTTTCTCCCTACCGAGCCCACTCCTCAATCTGCTTGCAGTGCGCCCTTCGCCAGGCACCGAATCGATACATCCCCCATTTTAGCGATTCTAGACAGCTTTTTATCGTCTGATGACTTTTTGAAAATCACGATTCTGTCTCGCCATCACTCAATCCGCACCCGACCGCTGGTTATCTCTCTAATACACCCCTACCGAAAATACACATTCTCACAGCAAACATGCCCGACACATCAGGGACCAACGGCACCAACGGCCGGACGGTACCCGTTGCTAATGGCAAGGCCACCTACGCCGAGAAGCACAATATCGCAGAACACTTCATTGGAGGCAGCAGGCTGGAAAATGCACCACCTAGCAAGGTCAAGGACTTTGTTGCGCAACATGATGGACACACCGTCATCACCAACGTAAGTAACAATACGGAGTTTGAAGTTGGAGCGGCCAAGCAGGAGCTTCCAAGTTGCGGTTCCAGTTGGTGTAATTCCCCGTGTTTTTGGGCATGGGCCAGGCCGCATCCGTGCCTTTCAATTCTGCCACGAGTTGCAATTCCGCAGCATGCGCAAATTCCTCCAAGCGTGTTTGGTAGCGGAGAACTAACAGAGCCGTTATAATAGGTCTTGATTGCCAACAACGGTATTGCCGCCGTCAAGGAAATTCGATCCGTCCGAAAATGGGCCTACGAAACGTTCGGCGACGAGCGGGCCATTCACTTCACCGTCATGGCTACTCCCGAAGATCTGCAGGCCAATGCAGATTACATCCGAATGGCTGACCACTATGTCGAAGTGCCCGGTGGCACCAATAATCACAACTACGCCAACGTCGAGCTGATTGTGGACATTGCCGAGCGTATGAATGTACATGCTGTCTGGGCCGGTTGGGGCCACGCCTCCGAGAACCCTAAGCTACCCGAGTCTCTGGCTGCCTCACCGAATAAGATTGTCTTCATTGGCCCTCCAGGGTCTGCCATGCGATCGCTTGGTGACAAGATTTCCTCCACAATTGTTGCCCAACACGCTGCTGTCCCTTGTATTCCCTGGTCAGGAACTGGCGTCGACGCTGTTGAAATCGACAAGAAGGGTATTGTTACAGTTGCAGATGACGTCTACGC